GGCGACTGTCCTTGAGCAACTAATAGGTGAAAACGTCAGGAAGGAAGCGTACGCTCACTTCTCGCTCATTCAAAGAAGCATAACGTAAAATATCAAGAAAACTATGAGATAAATGCAAAAAAGTTGTTATAGGAAGATACATTTCTCTCGAACTCGGTGAGCTGTCTTACTGTGTCTTGGAAAAGGGGAACCTTATATTTTATAAAGTGCATCTGAAAGCTTATGGCACAGACGTTAGTCAAGCATCTGTGTAGTTTGCACAGAAATCTTTACGGAGGAGTCTGAGATGTATCAAGAGTTCTGCTTTATGACCTGTACCTTTCCACTGTTTTATGCACAAATGTATACATGAGAGAAAAAAATGGCCTGGATAGCTTAAGGACTATAACAAGATGAGCCCTTCCTGAAAAGAGATGAAGCTTGTGACTAAAGTAACAGGATGAAATGCGTAATGCTAAGTTACATGGTGGACGTGGTGATGTGAGTACTCCAAACCATAGCCTAGACACAGTATCTAATTGAAGGACGATAAAAATCTGCAAGGCATTTGCTCTCCTTCTTCCAAGTTGTCGGGTTGTCGTTTCACTCGGGTAGGCTGTGAGATCCTGGCCTCGGCTCTCTTAAACCCCTCACACCTGAGAGAGCTGGATCTGAGCCACAATGATGCAGGAGACAGCAGTGTGCAAGAGCTTTGTGCCGAATTGATCCGTGCGGGTTGTAAACTTGAGAAGTTGAAGTGAGTACAAAAAGGATGACTTTTTTCCCAAATAGTTCCTTTTTCCTTCTACATATAAAGGGCCTCACATACTATTTTCACACGGGTCTGGGTGGGTGAATGGCACTCCTGACTAACAGCTGGAGGTCTTCTCTTGACAGGTTGGGTAACTGCTGCCTCACAGAGGTGTGCTGTGGAGATCTGGCCTTACTGTTACGCTCTGCCAGCTCTGAGCTGAGGGAGCTGCAACTGGAAGACAATGATCTCAAAGGCACAGGAGTGACATCACTCGGACTTGGACGATACTTATGAAATAGAAGAATGACTTCTAGGGTTAGCTAGTGCAATAAATTAAAAAGTAGACATCTTTATTGAAAGAGATGGAAAAAATCTCACACCATAAATATTTGTCTAATTTCTGGCAAGAGTCGGATGAAATTGCAATGCATTCAATCAAAGCTGTCCAGCTTGTGTTATGCTCGCCCCTGTTAGGCCAACAAAAAATGCACAGGGTTGTTCTCATTGTCACATAGCTTTGAGTCCTGTGAGAACATTGCGTACTGGCTCTTGCACCTTAGAACCGTCTGCTGCTGTCCTCACGGGGGGGGGGGGGTGTTGGCAAAGCAGCCTGTACGTCCCAGTGACACTTTAACTGCGCCCACTGTGTCATCACTGGCAGGTAAACAAAGTTACAGCTTACATCGTGTACTGTGTCCAATACATCATCCATATAAATTGACCTGTATCTATGCTGAGTCTTTAATATGGACCCATGACTCTCGATGGGAAACAAACGGTGACCGTGGAATGGAGGAGCGGGCAATGCCCAGATCAGGCGGCGGAAAGGTGGGAATCACACCGGGAGACGGTCTCTGGACGCTTTTAACGCGAGGTCGAGTCGGGCATGGTGGCTGATGTCGAAAAGGCAAATAGAGGAAACATCGCTAAAGTAGGGAATTGCGATGAGTCCGTGATTGAAATGAATGAAAAGTGAAGGAGCCTGAATTTCTTGGTTTTCAGCACAGGGCCCTCAGCTGCTGCGCCCAGCAGATCTGCTCTTGCAGTTTAGGAGGCTCGAGACGTGTCTGGACAGAGACAGGAAGGCTGGTGTTCTGTGCTTCTCCTATACCTTTACAGCAGATACCCACTTGATTCATTCTGTAGAGCATTCACACAGTCCATTTTATCACGGGAATACTGAAAGTCCTAGCTATATCCGACATAGCAAGCACGTGTAGCTAACTGGGCCTTTGCTTAATTACGGAGAAAGGGCGCACCCCCCCTTTGGTGATGCTTGGTGTTCCAGAACTGTATTTGACTAACCCCCCCCCCCTTTTCTTTTTTTACTATTGTGTTTGTTTTCAACTGTTTATTTGTATTCAACGTTCAATATTGTCCTCCGATCTGCGACCTGCCAGATGTATTCAGTTTGACTTAGGGGTGTTCGATTTGATTTTGATGGGTAACATGAACCTCATCCATTTTACATTGGAACTCGAAGCAGTTATACCCTAAAAAAGCCCAGGTTAAGAAGATAAATACCACGATTCCCATGGCTTCCCCCCCCTCCCCAGTTCCCCAGATGACAGAGTAGCTTTTGCCCTGCTTGCGAGCCGCCAGTGCAGCAATCCCTGTGGCCCCCAGTACGGATGTTTCTTCCCCGCTGAAGTCCCAGCACCCCTAAGGCTGCCCAGCCCAGCGTCCCAAAGCCTGCTCTCGCTGTCGGGCAGGTTTCACTTCTCCTGTGCCAATAACAGGGATGCAACGCTCCCAGGCGCACTCGTTAGCAAATGTCACGTCTTGGGCGAAGTTCATTTATTCTTTCCTTATTTTAATTCAACACTTTTGATCTGGACGCCCCTTGTTTCCAATTAATACGAGCGTCTCGGTCATATTCCCAACAATGCGCTCCGTGCTTTTGCTGACAATTGATGCCAGACCGGTGATTGAGAGCGCAGGGACGTTTTGCTCAATCAGCTCTCTTTAGCGTAAAGCCATTTATAATTTTGAGGAGTGTTCAGTCAGTCACAGCGCTGGTGATTTGGGAAGAAAACTAATAGCATCTTCCTCTGTCTCATTACTCAATAAAAGGAAAAAAAAAACTCAATTAAAAACATCCATGACATTGTTTCGAAATGTTATTTCAGTGACTTAATTGTTGTTTACAAGGATATAGCTTAATCCTTTTGACAGATTGGAAAGCATTTAAGTGGAAGATTCCTTCGGCTAAAACCTTTCCTGTTATTTAAATAGGAATGAGCAAGGAATTCTGCATTATAGTAAAGATGTAGAATACATTTACTTTAGTTACTATTGATAATATTAAACATTTTCTTTAAGTACATTCATAATGCATTATGAACATGACTATCACTATTTATAAAAAGGTATAACATTATAGCCATGTTTATTATGCATTATGAAAGTTTTATGAAGCTCATCTGTATTGCACTATAAATAATTTCTATTCCTTTATAATGCAGTTTAAAAGCATTCTTATACCGACCATTGTAATGCATTATAAAGGCATTATTGATGACAGCTTCATAAAGCATTCATAATGCAGGTATGGCTATATTATAGTCTGCCTTTTGTTAAATATTTATTGGCATATTTATAATGCTTTATGAATGCATTATTATTTGTCACGAATGTGTTTATAAATTACTAAAAACATGTTCGTAAGGAAAGTGTTACTGAAAATTTAAATGGAAAGATTTTTTGCACTGAATTCTTTGATTTTTCTTTTTTTCTTTTTAACCACTAAATAAGCACAATAAAACTTGGGTAAAATAGAGGATATTACAGCAGCTGCTTCAACGAAAGCGATGAAACGGGGGCCTCCAGCCATTTTTCAGTCACAGTAACTCATTTATACACTTCAACCCATACTGTGTGTGACATGTTGAAGCCGAGCGATCTCACAATGCTGTTTTGACGAAAGAGGGAATTCATTAATATATGTTTGATAGGATTGTGGTCTAAGCAGATGAATTTTATTACGACTAGTCTGTCAGTTACGGCAAGGTGAACGCAGGATGACAACTTGACATGGGCCAAATGGAAAAGTGCACGTAAAAAAAAAAAGTTGCTTATTCGGTGCAGAGCGAGCGGTAGATAACACATCACATCTAATGTGCGGATCAGTGCTTGCTGCTTTTTTTTTTTTATCTCAAAGGTCAAAAAACCGTTTAAAAGTCTTTTGGGCACAGTGTCCTTGTTTAGGCAATAGCTCTCCAGTGTTTCATTCGCTAAGGCAAACTGTACCGTTATGTCGGGTATTACCATAAAAGTACGTTTCTCTTGGGCCCTATGCTGCCCTGTGCCATGTACCTGTTTTGTCTTACACATATAGCTAAACTATGCTATGATAAAAGCAGGAGATTACCAAGAAATTGACTGTATGGTGTAGAAAATGGGGCCGTCCGCCTTTAATGTAAAACAGTAAATGACTCGCTGGAGTCAGACACGCAGGGAAGAAAGGGGCCAGTAGCAAAATGAACTATCTGGGGACACTGTTCCTTGTCCATTCTGCTGGAAAGGGCACTCTTCAGAACACCTTCTACCACATACTGCGTGGCCCAAATGAAAGCAGCTCTGCCTGCACTCTTCGGCTAAATCGCCTGCTTAATAAAAAACACAATCAGGCCATCCATGCCCACCTGCAACCGACATTAAATTTTAACGTGACTTTTCTCCATATATCTCTTGCACTGGCAAAGGCCACCGGGCTGTCTGCCGGCATGTGGTCTGTCTGAGGAGGCAGTCCCAGGCAGTCATTCTGCAGAGCAGGGCAGCCACCAAATGCATAAAAAATTAACCGCTATAGTCTGCAGGAGTTGCACCTGTCGCTTAGCTTAAGGTTGCAGTTTAGGCTTGATTTAAGGCTAAGGGTTAAAGCTGGGTTTAGAGATATAGCTTTAATTAGAATTAAGCTTGGCTTTAGATTTAGGGTTTGATTTGAACATAGGGTTAGGCTAAGATTTGCATGAATCATCTTGTCCTACAGTTAGGAATAAGGGTTGCCTGTAGGATTGTGGTCAGAGTTAGAGTTAGGCTTAGGGTTGCTGTTAGGTTTAGAGGTATGGTTAGGTTTAGTTTAAGTTTAGGTTTAGCTTACGTTTAAGTTTAGAGAATGTGTTGCCTTAGGGCTTAAAGATCTAAGTGCAAGTTTGGCTGAATGGTCAACTTGCCTGTTTGCATTACTCACTGTACCCAAGTACCTTTGTAGCATGAGGCCTGCGGTTTTTCCCATGAGATGAATGAAGAGCAGAATAAGTCAATCTTAGCTAAAACAGGTATCCCTTTATTGGCTTGGTGAGGTTGATGAATAACGCACATAGAAATAAAATCCACAAGAAAGTCGTACAATAGGTAGATACACGAAGGCATTGGCAAGGGGTTGGCGGGAAGGCAGCATGGGAAAAGACGATAAGTCGACAGAAATCCCACCATGCCCCTCTTCTACACCGATCTCCTGGGCAACTACGACTCTGCCTACAAACATGGCGTTGCTCTGTGCTTCACATTACCCAAATGCCCGCCGCAGTATTCAAATTATATTATATTGCTGCTCGAGGCAATTTACAAAGCATGTTTATGTTATGCTTAAAGTCACACGCTCCAAATGGGACATGACAACATCACCAAGCTGCACAAGGATGAAACGTGTGCAGAGTTGCATCGTCTGTACATGTCAAATGGAAGATGTAAAACATGCTGTCAGCACCAACATTTTACCTCAAAAAAACAGTTCTGTGATCCGCAGGTTTAATCCAATGCATTTTAAACAGGGGTAAGCTAGTATTCTCATTGCATGGTCCAGTATACAGTATATGATGGATTCGAAGAACATAGACCAGATATGACCGGATTATCAGGAAGATCCTGGGCTGTCTGGACCAGGCAAAGAAGAGTACTGAATATTTTCTCAATTCACACAGTTTATCACTGAAATACTGTTTTACTTAAGTGCTAAGATTTCCAAAGATGTTGAGATTACAAAAGTCGAATCTTAAATTGCACACACAGACACACACCGTAAATCCTTACACTGTCACGAATGCTTACAGTATGCACACGCACTGGAAGTCGATACATACACTTTGTGAGCAGCTGGGCAAGGCGTGTGATCCGAGAATTACTTTACAAGCAAAATGACACGTCAGGGGAAAAAAAAAAGAAAGAAAAGTTTAATTTTCCTTCAATAATTCTTCATCTAATTGTTAAATTATCTGTTATTCACGGCATCATTATAATAAAAATCTTTGCAAAAAGATACAGAGATCCTCAAAATGAAGGCGTAAACCTTAGCTTGGCGTTTACATATGGGGAGACATAAATACAGCATAACATATAAAATGGAAAAATAAGGTAAAATATTTTTTTTATTGCTTCATGTCTTTAGTTATAAAAGAAGGAACTTGGGAGCCAAAAAAAGTGTTTAAAGCTGCAGCCAACTGGTTTTAAAAGTAATAGATAAATTAACCAGAAGCAGCATATCTGACGAGGGTTTCACTGTTGATGACTTTGAATAATTAATTTCTTCATAGAAAATGCTATTTTAATAACACCATGTCTTTGTCATATATTTCCACCAACGTTTCAATAACACGATTTAATAACAGAATAAATAGCTAAAATTAGCAGACCACCCATTGCGTGGAGAGAAAAAAAAAGAATATAAATATTTTAATTTACAAAAATTAAATTTATAAATGGTTTCCAGGGGCAGCAGCGAGGTAAAACCTAGGTTGTTCAAAAAAACTTTGTTTCCCAAAAAAAGTAGAATTACAAAACAACAAAAGAATTTCCTGTATATATAAAAACTGAAGAAAGTGAAGACTGCTGATTATTTTCAAATTAAAATTACTGATAGACCTTTGTGGCCCATGTGTTTAATTATGAAAAGAAAAATATGTAAAAATGTATTTTATGCTAGATGTTGTACATGGAAAACACTGAGTGGGGAATATTTAAAAACAGATAAAACTATACAAACTGCAATAGACATCTGTAACAACTGCTTTTTTTTCACCAAAATAAAGTTTTAAAAAATTTTCAGCATCTCCCCTTTGAGAAAAAAAAATCACCTCAATTCAATATATGTTTTTACAATCATATCACGTCATCTGAACTTCATGTAGGAGAACAACTTCATCATAGTAACTACAGATCAACATTCTTATTTAAGAAAATCTCATCTTTTATAAAGGCTGCGTTTTACAGTGCATAGCTGTAACAAATAAAGAACTTTTGTCAGATATATACACAAAATAAAAATAGTAATTCATCTGAACATATTCCATATTTTCAAATACACAACTATATTTCTGGTGAATGGATGACAGTGGTATCTGAAAGACCCCAGGTAGAGTTCACCCCCAAATGCTAAATGTAACACCACATACAAACAGTAGATAAAAACTCCACAAAAACACAACAAAAAAAAAGAACTGAACAAGCCGCATGTATTTAATTTCTTTTTTTTTTTTTTTTTGAACAAAGAGAGTTAGCATTTTGATTATACTCTGGCTATAGACCTGCATCATGATATGACATATTATTGACTTCACCAGTTGATATCATTGCTTCCCGGTTTACCAGCAGCTTAGTTCATGTAAACTTTGTGTTATATATCATTCATACTATATATTCTTCTTCATTCAAAGAGCGTAAAACTTCCAGTGGCCTCGCAGTCGAGGACGGATACATCCGTGAGGTATTGCTTCTCCCTCTGGTGACAAGGCTGCCACCAGTTACCTTTTCAGGCTGCTCTGGGCTTCCTGCAGCAAGCTGTCGAAATCCATGCAGTCATACTTGCTTTTAGCGGAGGTCGGGTCGAAGTCTTCACAATGGGAGTCTGCAAGGACGACAAGTCGTGCGTGAGTTTCAGCGGATGTGTGGGTTCGTGCCCTTCGCTGCAGGGCCAACCCCGACATGCGGCTGTTCTCCACCCCCGCGACCGGCGGTGGAATCTTATAGCCGACGATGACTGTGTCAACGAGCGGATACTCAGCATTCATGGTAAACGAGGGGCTTATAAAAGGCCCACAAGAATCTTGAGTTCTGCCCTAAGTGTGACAGCCACAGCTAAGGGATGTTAACGTGCTCAGAAAGTCTGTACAGATTTAACTGACATGCCTAAGCTTCCCCTCAACAGCCCTGACCACGCGAGAGTCAAAAATCGAAAAAAAGGAAATGTGCTTATCAATAACGTGCCGATGAGGAAGTGGGAGACGTGTGTGTGGTTTGACGTGACATGGAGTGACAACCAAAAGCTGCCCACAATCTTTCTCTGGCAGTGGTCTGATCAGACAGATATTGGATATTCAAATTTATATATTTTATTTTCACTGAGTAATGATTTCACAGATGGATGGTGAACTGCATTTAAAAAAAAAAAAAACTTAGTGGCATTGCCACTACATGACACAATTTTAAATTCTTTATAAGACATCTGCTGTTAAGTATACATTTTATGATAAAAGAATTATTTTGTTATTCCTTAGAACTATTTTTCCCTCCAATTTTATCAGCTGAAATTCAGTTAAATCCCTAAACATATTTCTAGTTGGGTGTCAATGTAAAAATGCTGAACGAGCAGCAGCATCTTCCTTCAGTAGGACTGCTGATCATCTGGGGGCATAACAGAGCACACAGTAATAAACATCCCTAAAATAACTCCCAAATTTCAAGGGGAGATGGATCACCACTGCTCACCTGCCCCAACACACCCAGTGCACATTATCTCCACTGCTAAACACTGAATCGTAAAGAAATTTGTTCACTCAACATAGGCACCGTCAAGGTGACATGAGAAGTAGTGGTTTCGTGATGGACCGACCATGGAATCCTCATCCGGTTGTGAGGTCACCTTTGCGGGTAAGCCAGTACAACCATAACCCAACTGTACACATAGTGTTTCCACAAGACTTCCTGCAGAAAATCATACTGACAGAGACTGTTCTATAGTGTCCTTGCCCAACCCCTATCCCCTGCTTGAATCATAGTGCTAGGGGGCAGGGTTCACAGTGAGGTCTTGGTTTTATTCAGCAACAGTTGGGAAGTTCCCTTGAGATCTCTAACTGCTGAGGACCGAGTACATGAAAGATGGAAGGCATGGAAGCTCTGCACTTATTGACGCTCCTGAGCACGCTGTGAATTGCGTTATAAACTGGAATGCTCAGCAATAGGCCTTCTGTGTATGGGCTGCCCCTTAAACCTCAGACCATTTGAAAGTGTCTCCTCGGCATTCCGGAACCTCTTACCTAAGTCTGTGTAATTGGTTTTGCAGAACTGTTTGAGTCCACCAAAGCAGAGCTCGAAGTGCGGCTCCTTTGATTTACGCAGAGTGTGTCCATTCTCAAGGGCCGCCACGGCATCACAAGTGTACCGGTAGGTTATGAAGCCAAAGTTGTCCCTGGATATAAAGATAAGCCTTTGTTTGAGGGACTAACAGTGCCATACAGCTATCTTAACATCTACGAAATAAAACAGATCGCCACCCATCTTCACAAAGAATAAATCTCGTGACGATGCAGATGGAGATTCTGAAGCTCAGGATTTCTGAGGCAAAATAAACACCGCTTAAATGGAGAGCATCCGGCCTCAGTTAATCAGGAAAAAGGGAAAAGAATTCAAGTGAACAAGCGTCCGAGATGATTGCTTTTTCATCCCCTGGAGCCTTACCCGTCATCTCTCAAGCTAACGGTGCACTCTTCCATTTCTCCAAAGACTTCAAAGCGCCGCTTCAACTCTGTCCACGTGATGTCCGACCGGAGTCTCCCCACGTACACTACACGCCTCTCTTCCTGGATTCCAAGAGAAAGGAGGGTTGTCTTGTGAAAGTGAGTTTGTTTGAAGGAGTTATGGTGTAGCCACAATACTATGACATGATTTAAAGATACAGTCCTTGATGCTAGATGTTGTCAGGATAGGAGTTTAATGCTGTCGTTAAAGGCATGGACCTTGTTCATACATGGATGCCAGCTTTATTCTCTCATGGGTCAAGTGCTCTACGAGGTATTTAGTCAGGATTGCTGTATATACAAACCAATATCCAGTTGCATAAAGGCATCGGCCAACAAATAAATATATATTATCTAGGTCCTGATCTATTGTTTCTTTTCCTAAGACCTGTCTCTTCCTTCACCGAACCCAAAGGCCATTTTAGGAAGAGTATGCACACTAGAGGTAAGTTATGAATAAATACCAAGATAGATCTACGCTCAGTCCCCAAACCTCTAGGCCTACACTCTGGTCTTTGAGGGAGAACCATAGCCAAAGACGCTTTGAATGGAAGCAGAATGACTCGGTAAAAGTGAAGATAGTGATTCACACTCCCCACCCTCAAATTCCAGTTGAAAATCAGGAGCAAAACCCTCCAGACCTCAATACCTCACATGGTAAATATAGGACAGTATATGATACCAGACAACCTGTCTGTACTTCCGTAATAGTATTCAGATCATAAGCTTGTCTGGAACTGTGAACCACAAAGCCTTTGAGATTTCTGTTAGCATGTAGTAATATATTCTAGGTACAAATTAACATATTTCTATATGTACATAATCAGGAGGTCCTTTTCTGAAATTATTTTTATAATTTAATAATGAAACAATACACTACCGGACCTGTTCAAAGCCCACCCCCTTGTTGTGTATGGACTTTGCTTATTTTCCCCATGTTGTGTGGGTTTCCCCCCCACAGTCCAAAGGCATGGGGTGTTCATCAATGCCAGGAACTTAAAGAACATACTTGCGTTCCTGGCAAGAGCATTCTTGCTAACTTGCCTCCCAAGAACCAACTCGGGATGCAGTGAATCATGAGAATGTTCAAGTTGGCGAGGATGCAACTGATGGGTCTTTGATATTTGGGGCTGGGCAAGAACGACGTCCAGGGATTTTTACCGTCCTTCGTACTTTTGTTCTTCAGTATTGGAATTATACTTCCGCAATGGAAGGTGACATAAAATGTTGATACGTATGTTGATAAAACCCATGTACTTAGGTAAACTGAGATATCTGCTCAAAGTGTATAACTGTGCATGCCCTGCAATGGATTAGAATCCTATCTGGGAGTATATATATATTTAAGATACATTATCATATGGTGTAGAATCCCATGAGTAGAATATGACGCACACAAAATTGTCTGAAAACAATATTCACATTTGATACCGAACTTTAATGCAGCCATCAAGTCATCTCCCTTATCTCCTCATCCAGACAATCTGTAATTACCAACCCTGATATGTTGGCTAGGGAGGCCAGTAGTGATATGAGAGCTAACACCTTTCTACTGTGAGATGGCGTCATTTACTGGATCGGCTCACTGTCACGTTCTCTCAGAGAACACGCTGTTAATGTTACAACACAAATACAACTAAAGCTATCTGGCACAGCTTGGAGACACCTGAGGCCCTATAACATAGAGCTTACAAGGGGGAGGAAAGTGTGTTACATGAATAATTCAGTGAATTGCTTTACATGTCCTCACGCTTCGCCGAGAGCCCTAAGTTTCAGGGATGAGGAACTAAAGAAGGTTGCTCTGGGGCATGTCAAACATCTCGGGAAAGGTCTGGGGACAGCAGTACTCACGATGGCTTTCTGCCTCCGCTTTTCCCTCTGCTCGGCTCCCTCTGATTCCCGCCTCTCGCAGTCCTGCCGATACTCCTGTCTTCTCAGGTGCTCGTGCCGGTATTCCTCATAGCTGTCGTACCTGGGGGCAACAGTCTGGGTCACTATGCGAAACATGCCGGTTGTCCTTCACTGACACCCTACACCAGTGCAGATATCAGATGATGGACAACAGCAATAAAGGGTTTCATCAATCAATCAATCAATGGAGACCTCCTAAGAACCTTTAAAGCAGTGTTTCCCAACTCAGTTCTAGGGGACCCCCCCAGACAGTCCACATTTTTGCTCCCTCCCAGCTCCCTCCCAGCAGCGAGCTGGGAAGAAGCAAAACCGTGGACCATCTGGGGTGGAAAACACCTCTTTAATGTGTCATTATTTATACAGAAGCATGGGTGTTTGACCCAGCTATCACAACCAGGGTCAGACAACTATTCATACCATTCACACCATTCATAGTTTAAAATGAGCAGAAAAGTATATAATTCCTCCATATAATGTTTTTTTTTACAGAAAATAACCCAGAACCCAAAATCCAGTGTACCATAATCCCAGAGACTTTCTAATAGTCGGAAACCATGTGATTCCCATTTGATCAGAAAAAGTGATTGACGAAGAGTCTGAAACCCTGGGCTTGAAGGTTGTGTTCAAAGTTTCCAACAGGTACATTTATAGTATTATGCAATGGAACAGAAAGGAGGAATTAAGACCCACTGCTAATCTACAGGGGTACATTCTTCTATTCTTGCTGTTCAGCATAATCGGCAGGAATCAAATGGTTTTCATCTCTTTGGTGTTGCTGTCTTTAAAAAAAAAAGTCTGTAGCTTAGCGTGCTAACTATATTAGCAACTTGTGTATTCCCTGTGGTGACTTATCGATCCATTCCTCCGCTCACCACTTAAGTGCATCTTGCATCTCTTCTCCATCACAGAAAGGCTGAGTTACCAGGAGCAGATGCTCAGGTTTATAAATATTATGGCATAATCAAGCACACATGACAAATACAGAAACCATACTTGTGGATCAGGTCCTAACCAACCAGGGTGTTCAGCATGACACATAACAGTTGTACATACACAGAAGAACAAACGGTAAACACAAACCCGGGCTTCCGATCAGATGGAGATCTGGACTGGGACCTCGACTCTGCATGGGGGCTTCTCTGGGTCCTTCTGCTCCTGGTGTCCACAAATTGGCCAGTCCTGAGCAAACACACACAATTGTACACATTAATTATACCAGTGTAACGTGTAATGAAAAACCAATTTGTACAGTTAATTAAAAACGCTATAATTAGAAGAGACAGATTCTAGGTTACAGGGACTATTTATAAGGTCACCTAATAAAAGAAAAATATATATATAACTATACCTAACCCATGATTATGTGAGTAACAATGTAATGCACAACAAATGCATTCTCCTTCATCGGATGTTGGTGTATATTCATAAACTCTAGTGAACAAATTCGTCCTCATGTGGTTGTCAAACTAATGGACTACTGATGACCCTCTCTAATGGGTGGGTTGTATGACACTTTCTGTCTCATTGAATTTCCTTGGCATGCAGCAAACGGGACAATGACAAGCATAATGTCTACAGGGAGAAGTCTGATTCTGTGAGACAGTAGTCCACCAAGAAACCATAAAGAAACCTAACACTCAAAATCCCAGGGTGCCGTTCAGTAAATGATGTGACATTTTACATTCTTTTATCCACTTGTACTGTAATATGTCCCCTGTTATCCGACTAAACTACAGCTTCAATTATGTTTCCAGGTCAAACGTCACGCAGAGAAGCACTATTCTTATGGTTCCAGGGCAAAATAATAAAACCAGATTAAATAACAGACATAACTAATTGCAGCCAGAGCTCAAGATTTCTTTGCTTGGAGCCTTTAACTGGAGCTGGGGAACATCAAGTCATTTAAAGCCACAGTAACTGTGTAAGAAGTAATAAAGCTCACAGAAAAGGTTCAGGCTTCTCCTGCCCTGAGTTGCAAGATGTACTGAATCCATCTATTTTAGAGGCCTTGAAAGGTAACTTTTCAAAAACGTCACGACAAACGGTTGGAGAATGTTTTCATAGAAAGCGCTGACGGAGGCATTCCGGCAGAGCGAGGGTGAGGGGTAAGATAGGGCAGGAACAGTCTGGACATTTTGCTGAATTCTGGATGCTGTTTAGCCGAAGTATAATTTAAGCTCGAGTTTGTAAATGTGAAACGTCCTTCAAACGTCTTGTCCAAATGTTTGCGTGTCTGCAGGGGGAACAGGTGTCGTAAGTGTGCCACGTTATGTCCGGCGTGTGATTCAGCGCAGCACTGCTGTTCAACCAGCCGGAATTCTAAGCATCTCCAAAACCTCGGAGCGGAACATCTTCCGTTTGTTGTCCAAACACAACAGAAAGAGGTTCCAAGTGGGGATATTCGTGTGGGAAGGGGAAGGAGGATTTTTTATCAAACTCTTTCTCATAATGATTTTCCCCTCATTATCCAAACTCAGCAGAACTGACTGTTCAGCTCAACGGTGTAGGCTGAAATAAAAACCCATCAGTGAATTAAGAGTACCATGGTAGGAGCAGGACTCATACCGTGGACAGGCATGGGGAGACCTGGAGCGGGAGCGTGAGTAGGGAGATCGGGAGGGGGTGCGACGTCGAGGTACGTGGGAAGCAGAGCTGGAGCGTGACCGAGACCGGGATCCAGACTGGGAGGCAGATCTCGGATGGGCCTTGGAAGGTGAGACAGAGCTCCGCGATGGGGAGCTGGTTGGAGAACACGAGGGCGAACCATCGAACTGCAGCCCCAGGTGAGAGTCCTCCCATGGGTAGAAGAGCCGCTCGCCTTCCTCCTCACTGTCCTCCAGGACCCCTTCCAGGGGAAGACCCACAATCATACCCCCTGCTGTTTGGCAGTAATGGTCCTCTGCCACCTTGGCTTCCTCGCTGAACATGGCTTGTTTTGGGTGACCAAAGTGCTTGTTGAGCTCCGCCCTGATTTCTATATCCTCCAATGGTTTCCAGCCGCCCGCGGCAGGCCTGGCACGAGGGGGCTGCTCGAGCTTCCCAGCCTCCCTGTTGAGCACCGGGGATCGCACAACAGAGGACGCCATTTGCAGATGTCCCTCCAGGGAAGGGGTGGCAGAAAGCAGAGCCACCGAGGTGCCGCACCCCCAGTGCCGGCTGTCCAGTGTCCCTGGGCAGGGGCCAAGGCCCCGCTTGGCGCCGGTGAACTGGCAGTAGTCGTGGTCGCTGAAGACACGTGGCGCAGTCCGCTTGCCTCTGCGCTCCTCTTGACCCGGTGGAACCGGGGCTGACACCCTGCTGAGCTGGGCGAACAGTTCTGTATGCTCACGGTCCTTCCGGGCCGGGCCCACGGCCAGGAAACAGGGAGCTGGCCCACCGCAGTGAGCCCCCGTGCCCACCAAGGCGGAGGACCCACATGACGACAGCTTAGTCTTGATGGAAGCCTTGAATGGATTCTCCTGGCTAGCTTTGTGAGGAGGCGTCGTGGGCGGTGTTAGACCTGGAGGATGACAAGAATGGAAATGAATTCAAAATACCCCTCTGGATTTGGAATGTCAACAAAAGCTTGACTACAGACATATTCTGTTCACTTCTTCCTAATGATGATAATTAAATGCTTAATGTGACAGTGTCAAATAAAAGGTGCAAAACAGCCACGGCTAAACAGCTAAAAAGCTTCCAAAGTTTTCCCGAAACCCAGAGCTGCAAACAAACAAACAAACAAGCTGACATCCTTGGCCTAGTGGTATAATTACAAAAGCCAGATCCTCCAGAAATGTTACATTGACTCCTCTGGATTCCGGCCAGCAGCCATGGGCAGAGAAAAGCTTTTCCATTGCAGTCCGGTGGTTATTAAAACACGGATCTATCACTAAGCGGTGGGTGGGGGGCAGCTCTGCTTGGGGACAGATGGTTGTTACCCAGGAGGACCCGACTCCGAGTCTGCTCACGCCATCGTTAATACCACTACACTCGCTCTATCTTTTGTCACGTCAGGAGGCAGAGAGGGGCTGCCTCACCCGTCCAGTATACAAGCACATGCACTGCGGTGCATGAGAAACCCAGCTAGGCTCATGCTCACCACTAAAACTGCATTTGTAGAGCGCGTCCACGTCCTGATACGCTGGTTCGATGCATTTCCTGCCCCACATTACTGTTAAGTTTGACTCTGTAGCTGGCTGGCCCATCAGATAATGTGCTCTAAAGCCTCCCTTCCTTTCTGACCAGTGTGGGTGTTTGCTTTACTTGTATAACAGAATCCTATAGCTAAAGCATCAATATCCAACCAAAAACCCTTCCAACTGCTTATCCTGGTCGGGGCATGTGCACATTGATGTCACACATTAAAATCTGATTTTACAACAAAAAGCAATTTTTTTTTCTATAAGGATAATAGTCCATCAAATCCGGCATAATATAACTGTCAATATAACAAACGCTAAGGAAATGTTTAATTAAGCTGATATTCGACCCATATATTCTGCTGGAAAATTCCATTTACGTTTGGACGGGACGTTAAAAGTTCATATACTCCGCTTGCCCCAGCAAGCCTTCAACCAATTTTACAATTAAAGCAAGTTAATCTTAAATGAAACAGATTTCCAGTGGAAAACCTACACAGGTTCCCTCAGGGCACATTAACTCAGAAGCGAACTGAACACTCCTTTCATGTAAGGTTTCAAGCGAGCGCCTGACGGTACCGGACAACCTAATCTAGCAGTTGAAAGGCTTGATCTCCATTGGTTTTTGTCTGAAATGACTTTTTTTTTGAAGCATGTAATCCTATAACCCTTAAATCAGTCAGAGTGACAGGGTATACCCTTTTTAACTATGGATAAATCAAAGACATACAGAGGATTTAACATGACTGCTGTGACTGCCATACTAGGTAATTGTATTTAGGTCTGTCCTTCTGAAAAGAGCACACCTTTGACTATAGATCAGAGAAAAAGATGTAATTAATGTCAAATACCTGAATACAACTGCCCATCTCTATATATTGCACACAGACACAACCCAAAGCATTTGCAAAAAGCTTGACTGCCAAAATATACAAGACGTAGACTAGTTACAGTATAAGTCTTGTGCTACCACAAGTCTCAATAGTTGTACAGATATATTAGACCTTGAACATATTGAACATCCACTGTCTCGTGTTTTAGGAATCACAAAGTGGTTTGTAAAAGCAGAAACCTAAGAATACATCAGAATAGTATGAAGATGATTAGCACCACAAAGGACTGTGGGTAAAAAGGATAAACATGTTCTTAACGATGAAAAAGCAGGTATACCTAGTACCGTGATCTTTTAGTCTAAGGCTTAAATTACGATTAGTTTTCTCTTTTAATTACTTAAAATTGGACCAACATCATTAATGACCTTTATTTTCAAGACAGATTATTTAGATGATATCTGCACACCAATTAATGGAAAAAAAACAATTAAACTAATAATAATGCATCATTGTATTGCTGCGATCTATCAGGTAAATAAGTGTTTCGGTCAAAGTGCAAGGGGATCAAGGAGGGACAGTGTATGAAGCCAAAGATTAAGCCCTCATTTGGAAGTCAGCATTTCCCATAAAAAGGAAACTGGACTGTGTGATCAATATGGAGGCTCATGAAAACACATTGTAGGCTCCTTCACCTTGGACCCTGGGCTTTTTATACCCCTTTCAGGGAAAAGCAGCATCACCATCTCAGCCTTTCAGCATACTCTGTCCTAGAAAACTGATTTCTCATTTTCCGACAGCAGGTTGATTTATTCCCCATGGTTTTCTGGGCCAGAATACATATTCCATCGATCCCTTTCTATGGACAATCAATGTGACCACATGCTGGTATCGATAGGATTATTGAACACAGGGTCTTCTTACCTGGGGTACCAGACAGCTCCACACTCAATGTGCGGTCAATGGTTTTGTTCTCAAACGGTGATTCTTTGTGGTCGCTGAAACATAAATCCAACATCATTGACTCCTGACTTAGGGGTTAGGGTCTAGAACTCACTTTTAAATGGTTGTACGTGGAATAAGACAACAGGAAAGGCTTTGAATTTTCTTTTTAAAAATTCTCTCACTTACTTTGGAGACTCAGGGGTCAAAGGAAGTGGCAGGGTGGTTGGTTTGGCTGCAGAATACAAAGGAGTATGGGAAATTATTGGGTAATTATCATTTAACTAGATCACAGAAAGTCAGAGTTCAGCAGCACACGCGTTCCTCTAAAGCCTTCAACCGCACACATCAGTAACTCAAAGAATCTCATATCTTTTCATCCCTACAACTCACCGTGGGATGGAAAGTAATGCTAAATACTTTTTGAGAATTCTGATGCCTAATCTCTGTAATCAACAGCATGTCCGAAAGAAGAAAATACTTTTTAAAAATGATGCAAAAAATAAACAGTAGGGATATGATGAGCTAAACCTTCGCTGAATCCAACAAGGGGAGAGAACTTTCAAATGGTTGGAACGAAAGTGGACAAAAGAAAAACCAAGGCGGCCTGTGCAGATGCCTGAGGATCTACAGTAATTATCCGGTGAGAGAATAAAGGCCTAAGTGACTGAGTAGGATTAACCTGCATCTTAAACACACACGTTCACCTTGAAATCGGTTGATGCCTAAACGCCCCGGAATATATCGGATACTGCTTCTGTCCTGCTCATTTCCTCTGTATCTCATCGCATCTGTCCCACTGTGTTCATGTACCTTACCGGTGCTCTCTAAATGAGTAAATTAGTGAAGGGGTTAGCATGGAGCAGTGCGCGGAAGCAGATAAAGGCAGCACGAGGATGGAAACAGAGCAGCGGCACGGTGGTGATTACCTAAAAGAGGGAGGGCCTGGTCGTCAGGGTGACTGCGGACTGCCTGCCTGTATGGGGGTGGGGCTTGTATGATGAAGTGGGCAGAGTCTCCCAATGGGAAACCAGAGTCTGGGAAGATGGGACTTGGGATCTCCAGTGAGTTTGGCATGTGGCTGTCAGGGGCGCCGTCGCGAAAGGCACAGTCGTCCTGCCCTACCCAGCCCCCTGACCGTGTCCAGTCATAATCCCCCCCATCCGTGCCCAGCTCTCCGGGGCACGGGAGCCCCATGGCTTCTTTCTCAGCCTGTCCGGGTCCTGGGTCGCTGCTTCTAGGCATGAGGAGCGCCACCAGCGCATGGGGGCGTGGGTTGGCATCGCCAAGGTGAGGGGCAGGCTCTCGCTCGGGTGCAATCGGCTGGTTAGATAAAGGGAATCCTCGCTCTTGTCTTTTCCAGATGGTCACTTTAACCCGGTCCGAGGTGTACTTACCGCCCTCAGCCCCAAGAGGGCGCTCACTAACCGGCAGACCACCCACTTCACTGGCACAACCCATCTCCCTAGGGCGGAGGGAATATGAATGCAAGCAGCTAATAAACTTGGCAGCTGCATGGGCTGCGTGCTGCCCTGGAGGCCGGCTGCGTCCTTTTTTGAGGTGACCACTACTGCTTCTATAGGGTGGGACTGTAAAAGCGGAGGGTCTCGGCCCCCCAGTGCATGTCCGGCTCCGCCCCCCAGGCCCCTCGTCAGCCATGGCGCTCTCACCAGCAGCCCCGCCCTCACCTTGCTGGTGATGCTGCTGCTGATTCTGAGGTTGGTGCTGATGCTGCTGCTGCTGCTGCTGCTGCTGCTGCTGTTGTTGTTGCTGCTGGGATGAGGATGAGGTTGAAGATGAGGAGGATGAGGATTTCTTCTTGGATGAAGAGGAAGAGGATGAAATAGAGGAGCTGGAGGACGATGAAGGCGAGGGTGAGGACGAGGGGGCGCCGGCGGCCTTGGCCCTGTCACTCTTCTGCGCTTTGGTCTGGAGGGCGTCGTCGCTGGAGGTGAGGTACTTGAGCAGCTCGGCACAGGGGCGGCGCACGGGGGGTCCCTTCGGCCTACCGTTCGGCAGGCTCTCCACCTGCGGAGAACCATGGAAACGCTCAGCCCATCATAATCGGGGATACGCGACTACAAACGCCACCATCCACAGCAAGTAGAGGGCTCCGGGAAACTTCTGAAAAATAATGGAAACACTTCAAAGCTACATTTACCGCCTTTCATATTCATGATTTTTCACAGGGGTCTCAGTTACAGACAAGGAAGCACAAAACCTCAGGCGACACGTTGAAAGTGCCACAATACAGTTTTTCCCAAACAATCAAAACGGCATCAATGATCCACTTTTTCAGACTAAGTCAAAAATCTGAAGTTTTGAGGAGGGAACTTATTAACACCTGAAGGTAGCGATTGCAGCTCTCTAATGGAAAAGCGTGATTCTCTAATGCTTCTCCATTATTAAACATTACAGAGGAGGTCAGTAATTACAGGAAATTGATTCAGTTAAAATATAATAACGATTTGCAGACGTCAACATTATTGCATAGGAGGAGGCGGTTTTATAACATGGCGAGATTTCTCAGTACCAACACTGACAGAAGTGGGAGGGAAGGAAGTGAAGATGGACGTGAGCATGTGGCACCGTGAGAGCGCCCCCCACTGGCATGTCTGCGGATGGTAGCTACCTTGCTGACAGCAGATGATGGCCTGATCCGGTGGGCGCTGGCCGTACCGTGCTGTGTACCATTGGCCGGGTACTGACCGTAGCTGAGCTGCGAGTTTGCCGGAGCCAGAAGGAGCTTCTTCAGCTATGGACAGGAGACAGAAGCATCGGGCGTGTCTTTAACACATTATCGAGGCAGAAGTTCATTACACCTGTCGTTCAGAAAAGTTCTACAAATCAGAGAAGCTCCTATCTTTCTGGGTTCATGGAAATAGCCAAAGAGCCGGCCAGGCTGGGGGAGATGGAAGACGAGATGTCTCAGAAGAGTGGAACCGGGAATGAGTCATGCTACACCCTCAACTTTAAAACTCAACTGCAATGCTTTGCCTACATGTAAGAACATACAGATGCCAGAATTAGGCTGATCCAGGACCTGAACCTATCAGCACACTGTGTTCATTACAGTGTACATCCTGCATACAATTCTCATGCTATATCTGCATACTAAGTAAATGTTTATCCTCTCTCTCCACTGGTAATTGAGAGAACATGGGGTTGTTTCTTTGAAAATGACCATTACAGCACCTTGCCAGAATCATCAAATATAGTTTGCAAACTCCCCACCAGAACGGCAGAACATAATTACCCAATTTATTTAATGAGCTGTTTGATTGAATAACAGTATCTCACTACTGCTACTAAAAACACTTAAAGATTTAAACAGACCTATAATACTGTTGAATTACGGCCCTATAGGACACTGTTAAGCCCCCTGATCTCGCACATATTCAATTACGAATGAAATTAATCTGCAGACCCCTAGAACCTCACGATAAATCAGCTGCCCTTTAAAAGCTATATAGACGGAGGGGTGCGCTGTGTTCCGAGCATTAAGATGCACCTCATGAGCACAGGTGCTGTACACTGCTTAATAAACTAAAATTGTCAGAAGGCCCATTAATAAACATCACTGATGGTAAACCTCCATTCCACCTAGTTACGCCATTAGCTGGCTCTGGGATGGCTGACAGCGGGGGGGGGGGGGGGGGTCTTACCAGGGAGGGCTCCTCAGCCTCTGAGGCGGGGGGAGACTCGTCAGGGGCGGAGCGGCAGCACTGTGCGCCGGTGCTCTCCCCATCCCCAGCAGGCTCGTCGTCCCCGTCCCCGTCCCCGTCGGCGAGAGCCTCGAATGACAGCAACCCATCCTCGTCCACCGGGATGCTGTCCAAGGTCTCCGTGAGCACGGCCAACAGAGTGGCCTCGTTTTCCTCATCTATCTTCTGAAAATGAAGAAGCCAAAGCTTTTTACAACCACTATTAAAGGAAAACCAACCCAAAAAACAAAAAAAAAGAAGAAGTTAGCTCTCTCCTTAACCGCATGGTGTCGAGACAAACATCTCTCCTCCCCAAATAAACCATGACCAAATCAGACACACAGTGAGAGCCCAGGGGGAAAAATACAGGAAAAATCCAGATAATGAAGTAGAAATTGACGACTCTCCCCACAAATACCAACACGCCAGAATAATCACCATGGTAACTAGACACTTGAAAGATGCTTGAAGAGACTAACGGCGAATAAGAGTGGCTTCAAGAGAGACTGAGTAGCAGGAGCTGGGATGCGTATAATACACTCATTCTGAAGGGTGTTTTGGATCATGAAGGCGGCAGCTGATCTCTGGGACGCCCCACCACACCTTTACCGTGTGGCCTCCGTCGGAATCACTTACACACTGAAAGCACTTGCGGCTTTACCTGTAATCCTTTAGCATGGTTGGTCGTCCTTTGCTAAAGCAATTTGAATGATGCATGTTTATATAGAGCAGAGGGGCAACAGCACTCTCTGGACTTACTTTGCAGGTCGCCCAAGGTGTCACATGGGCTGGGCTGCCTGCAGACCGGACTTACATTTGCGGCACTCTCTTACTACACAGCTTTAGCTGATAACGGTCATGCCTGAATCCAAGGCCCCTCAGTGGAGCCCCCTATAGGTGTCCAGTATATTATTCCCCACAATGACACACCATTATAGGTAAAACTAGCTTTCTATATGATCGAGCAAAAGTTCACCCAGGTTCTGAGTTATTTTTGCTATAAATGAGTGGGAATAACAGTGAGAAAATGGGAACTGGGCACTATGACATGTTGGACACCCTTCACTTTGATCATACGACATCATTAATGCACAGATGATTAGCCTCTTTCCAAGGATGCAGAAATACCAACTCGAGCTGCCTCGAGCTGAGTCATGCTGGTAGCCCTCTACGACTGTCTCCTGTTAATTAGCACAGTGTTACAGTGCTACTGAACGCCGTCTTCACATTCCAGACCTTATAAAGACACTCATTTCTTGAGGATCACTTTAGATAGTGATCCAAGTCTAATCACTCGGACTTATATGCTTTTTTTTTTAGGTTTAAGGGGTTTTAATAAATAGGTTAGCTGCCTTCTCCCTCTTCCCAAGTTCAACACAGAGGAAGTGACATCTTTACTGCAAGCGATGAGGCTCTGAGATGCTTCCTGGCTGTACGGGCCTGCCCTTGACACTCAGCAGAGGACCACCATCTCCCACATGCCAACGTGGCATGGCCGTGACCGCACCCACGTGGTGGGAGGGGCACTTCCTCAGAATAGCCTCACTTAACCTTAGTGCAAAACCACCAAGTCCCAGAATCCTCTTCTGTGGCATTGCAAAGATCAAGCAAAGGCCGCTGCAAAATACCCAGCAAGTAAGGCAAGCGTTATCAACTGTGGTAACTCGTAGCCACAAAGAGGAATAAATAAAGAGAATTATCTCATCTTTCCTATTGTCCTTCAGCCTTCAAACCAAGCATCACTTAACAGACTTTACTGAATTAGCGCAAGCTTAGCAATCGAATCTAACTGTGGTGCCTGAACACATCACTCACGTTCGGTTTAGTGAGGGCCGCCAATCCTGTGGGTGTTTTTTGTTTTTTATTCTCAAAATGGTTCAATTAATCAATGAATCAGACATTAAAGGAAGCGACACGCTTTGAAAATGGAGAGTACCTCACTACCGTTATCCATGCTGCAAATAACGGGGCCGTGTTTTTTTTTTACATCAATGTGCTTTACGTCAATGTCCGGTCTTTTAAGTCAACCACTCCAACAGAACTGTCCTACTCTAGAACCAAACATTTAACATACAAGAAGAAGTTTGAAGAATTAAATAAGCAAATAATTCCACCACAGCAGAACATTTACATTGACGTTTTTATATATACGTTGTCCTAAACAAACAGAGGGCTGCTCTGATAACAACTGATCAGAAAAGTTCACCGTTACTCTATTGACCCATTATAATCTAGTTATAACTGGGGTGCTGAACATTCATTTTAACTAAATTGGAAGTATCTTTAATTCTGTATGGGCGTGGTCACATGTTCATGCTGTCATTCAAGCCCTCTAGGTTTCGAAAATGAGTAATACCGTTCTCTTCATTCATTAACCCTGCCCCACATTTCATAGTTGTAACAAGGGCACGTGGGTTTCGCTGCGGCACTATGCTGCTGCACAGACCCAACAGATGGACGTGACTTCAGGAAAGACGGATCACATATGATCGACCCACCGCTTGCCAATCTGCTGGCATATAAAACCGAACCAGCAATTAAAGCCTGTTTCTTTGAAGGGTATTTGCAACTAAATCTGCTCCTTAAAAGGAAACAAATGCATACCCAATAGCAAGATGCATTAGGAGCAAAGATACAAATCCCCCAAATTCCAGATCTCCGCACAAGGGATGAGTAAAAAAGCCTATTAAAAAGATGAAAATGGTAAGAATGGTAAGCGTGCCATGATCTGACGGGACGTCAGGTGAACGTTCCCACACATTTTTGTCTACCTGCTGCTCTGTGGTTCGGCTCAAACGCACATGATCCAGACAATGCATCGTTCAAATACCTTGTCAGAAATGTCAGGAGCACCTGTTTGTGTATATTAAAGACTTAAGATCGATTGCCGGTTTGAAAAATGTGTCATTTTACTTAGTGACGCAGTTGTAACCCTCCTGGCACTCTTGAAAATCTAACCAGACTAGAGAACATGACTGATCCACGGGTAATTAACTTAGCCCAGGCAGTTAGGGCAAATGAGAAGTCCAATTATAGCAACAGACAGTGTTTCCCCAAGTAATGAAAAAATATATCCATCAAATCACATGTAAGGTGCTCCACGTGGTATGTGTTGCCCTTTTGGTGAATTCCTCATAACATTATCTGAGCCCAAATACCACCGATATTCTCAACTCCTTCCAGCCAACTGAGACTTGGACACAAGTCCTTTGTCTAAGCAAGTCATCTGCAGTTTGGGAAGCACAGGGAACCCAACCTCAGAGCCCTAAGTACAGTGACATTCTCGAAGGACAGAGAGAGCATGGGACACCCAGACACGCAAGTCCCCTTCAGTGCCAACCCTTCTGGTCACCGACGCTGCTCCGCCAGCATAACTTCACCACACTGTATACCACAACGGCACTTATCATAGAGAGGTTCTCTTGTCACAGGTTCCAGGTTCCCGGCATTGTGCAAACAAGGCTAAATGGCTGTTTGAGTGCAATGAAAACATCTCCGCAGACTGTTGTCTGCAGGCCCATCAGACCACACATAGATAAACATTTAAATGTAAATACAGCTAGCATCAAATACCAGGTGAAATACAGACACTGCCCTGGTGTTTGCCAGACACTCCTAAAACTCCATAATCCATATAGGGAACATATAACCTAAAATCAGTCGAGACCACACATAAATAAAACAAACATTGCAAACTCTTAATTGACGGAAGTGAACATCTGATATCAGGAGAGCTCTATAGGGCTCAGCGGTCTAACCCACTTTCCTGTTATCGCTGGTTTTCAGATTTAGGAAGCGGTTAGTGAGGCATGCTTTACCACAGCTCCCTGCGACCAGGGATGAGAAAGCGTCCTGACTGGCAGTTTAATGTACCATCTTATCTTTCATTGTGGCCTAACTTGTAGACTGCCAGAACCCAGCAATGCTAAAGCCTGCTGGTGCCTCATTGTTCTACAAGTCCTGAATCTGATGGATTAGGCTGTCCGGTCCCCGCCAAACGGCGTTATGATCTGCCAGCATCTCAGAGGACTAGCAAATCCACATAAGCGCGAGGTGACGGTCACTACGCAAAGGTGGCATCTACACTGTCGCCCCCTGAAGGACTTCCTGGGCACAGCAATGGCTGGGAATCTGTGTGGCCAGGCCGCTTGGATGCTGAGGACTGAAGCTGGTCGGCGGGCCTGTCTGTGGCACGACACGCGTTCCAGCAAGTTCCGAGCAAACACTGAGACAGAAGGCCAAGCAACAGCGGGGGCCATGGGACGATCACGTCACCTTAGCGAGAGGCAACGGAGATCGCGGATGACTCAAGTCTGCTGAAGGGATTAGTCACAAAAAGCAGGCAAGGTAGAGGCTTCTGTTTCTAAACCGGCAAACTAATAAAGCTGAGATGAACAGCGTTGGGGTAATGTATCCTAATACTGCACAGTTTCCGGCGGAGCTTTTCAAGTATCTGCAAGACAGATGGCTGGGGCCTCTTTTAAAAGTAATTATAAAACATCTTTGATGACTCATCTTTTGACTCTTTGGTTCCCATTCCATATTACGGCTTTATCATGCCAGAAATGCCGGGAGGGGGAGGAATATGCAATGTTTCAAATGTGATTTCTGGGGGGAAAAAAAAATAAAAAAATCGTGAATTCTCCGGCAAACTCTTTTTAACTATTTTACTAATGTGGGAAAAGTACTGCAGGAAAAGGATGATTTAAAATGGCAAATATCTCTTAGCCCCAGTAGGCATCTCTCGGAAAGAACAAAATGCAGATGAAAGGCATTTTATTTCAGGGAACTGCAGTGCTGGCTTTCGTTTATTTGCTCGTATTATGTCACGTTCTGTCTGGATGAGCGTGCTTAGAAACGCTCCTGTTAGCGTTTTTGTTTGAGGACTCAGAAAATTAGCATCATCATTACTTTGAAATTGAAAGCATGGTACTACCTGTCTTGAGAGATCTTTATTTTAGCTATTTAGCATTATTTCTAGTGGCTTTTCAGACAGTGAGCTATCAGGGAAAGTAAAACAAGAAAAATGTAGCAAGAAACTTTGTAAAACGCACATGACGTCTACCGATCTATAAACAAAGTCTGTCTACTAATTAACAATTCAACTAATTCCCGACCAGCATTCATTTGACTTGCCATTCATTTGATAATCTAGAAGAAAATGTACTCAGTCCATCCAATTTCAATGACTGCTTTTTCTGTTACAACCAATGCGGTCCAGGGTCTACCCCAGAAGCTAAGGATTTTAGGTTGGGTGCACTGAGAAGCAAGAGCATAGGTTGTGTAGGGACCAAATCAGCCCGAACCCCCCGCCCCTAAACACACATAGAACTCCCGACATACTGCTAGAGACACGTCCCTACCATCCATAACCAAATTTACACCCATGCTCAGGAGACATATACAGAATCACACATACTTGGATGTTTATGTCAGCCTGAATCGAACATGCTAACATTGCACACAAGAGCTAGAACTGGACTATAAGGTGAGAACAAGGAACCGGTGCCGCCCACTGGACCTAGATTGCCCATTGGGATAACAGCCGTCTCAATGCAGACTAGCCAGCATCGACTCAAATAAGACACCACAATGGGTCATCAAAGTTAAAGCACATTTTCTTAATGGCTTGGTGGCCCAGAGAGCAGTGGTCAGAGAGCATGCCTTTTTGTTACCACAACAAGTGTCTCCACATCCTTAAATAACCCTCCCACGGGGGGAGACTTTCACATGGTATTGAATGGAGAACAACTGTTCTGTCCAAGACGGGGGGTCAATGGAAATTTTTCTTGTCAAATATAGTGACTATAATTGAAAGAAAAAAAAAACATGTGTTCTATGTATTGAGATTAATCACTACGCTAAATACTGAGTATCCCAAATGCAAACACCTGATCTACGTGTAATGACAATAAATACTGAAACAAAAAATCCATCCATACTATCTACAGGGTTGCAGGTAATAATAACAAACTGAAGGATAAACGTCCATGTATCCTTAAGTACATATAGTACACTCACTACGCTACAGCAGCTGTAAACGTGACTTGTAACTGGGAATTGTAACTGTATAGTGAATGCACGGATATTTTGTATAAACAGATTAATAGGTTAAGGGAAGGAACAGGTCCAGCAGGAAACGGCCGCAGGATCAGAACTGTCAGTTTGGTCTCTTTAAAAAAGGAAGCTATCAGAAGGTAAGCTTTTGGGCCAGGTTTGGGAAGGGCTGTCCTGAACAGCTCCTAAAGCAGATTACCCTGCTGCTAAGAATAGCCCAGGAGGACACGGTGGTACAGTTAGCCGTCCGGCACATCCACAGCTCTGGGGTTACTGCCTGCTTCAGCACCCATTCGACCCACAAATCTAAAGTAACCAGTCCTCCTTTAAAAACCCAGAGGTTTGCTCATCAGGATCTGAGAAGACCACCCCACCACCGCTGCTAAAAGCAGTGCTACTGGAAGTGAACAGAGCAGCCCTAAAAATCACAGCTGCCTTAAGTTTGGTCCTCACTTCTGTGTGCACTTGCCAGGCGGTAATGGGAGACAGGAGAATTCAAAACCCAAAGGGAGATTACCGTGAGCTGGTGAAACGCATTGGGTAACCACCAATGAGATCGATCCAAGGAGAAATAACCAATAGGAAGAGGGCTAAGCCAGTCTGGTCAAGAGAAAGACAACTACACATTTTTGCCAGAAGACAGTGATACCAATATAAGGTGATCAAAGACTCTGCTGACACGGAAGTCATGCTGCATGTCTGAGCCTTGATTCTTTTAGGCCCAGATGTTCACCTGGTAGGGGGGGGGGGGCTGCAGCATGTAGCCAGGGTAACACAGTGAAGCAACACCTACTCAAAACACAGTGGCCACAGCTGCAGGGATTCCTGTTTGGACATGCGCCGTAGGCACACAGCTGCATCGAGCGAGCCTTTCATGCTGTTCAGCCATGCAGGAATACAACACACCAGTCCGACCATTGACCATTGACCATTGACCATTGTGAAAGTGATGTCATTGACATATTCTGAAAACCACAGCCTCCAGTGGTAGGCAGGATACTCAAGATCAATTTTATGGTTAGAAATTTCAATGGATTTATCAGCTAAAGCCAATAGTCGATCAATAAAAAATATATAGATATAGACTATATATCACGCCAGCCGGTTTTGCTGTCAATCTATTCGATAAAATTTTATGTCTTAGCTGGATGTTGTTCCTTAAGTTACCAAACCACTGGGTAGTTCAAAAAAGCAACAAATCTTGTACACATCCTGGAAATAATACCGAATCATTTTCCTGTGTAAGTCAGGTAAGGCAGCGCTATGCTTTGGTATCTTTACCCGACAGTCGGTCCCTATGGAGCCCTATGACATCACGGCGTTTGCAGATGCTGAGCGCTTTCACTTTAAACACATGCTACTATTTCCAAAATGCCTGTCACGGTCCAAAAAGAAGGGCGCTGACCCGTGTAGTTGGACAGCTCCCCGTTCGACGCGCGGTCCCTGCGGTTCGGAGACGAGCGAGTTGCCCCAAGCCCCTCAAAGCCCGCCGGGTTCAATGGTGTTGCAAGGATATGGCTCAGTTCCAGCCCCTCAGCAGCCGACTGAAGCTATACAGCGTACAGCTCTTATCACTTCCCTGTCAATGATAAAAAAGAAGCCTGTATCCACAGCCTCCTTTTCAGGCCCTGCATTCTGTCAGCACACCCCCCCCCCACCCCCGAGCTTGGCTGACCACCTCACTCTAAACATGGCCGTCTGCCCCTTCAGTTTCCCTTCAGATTCCCTCCAAAACAAGAAGTCAGTAAGCCTGCTTATTGCTAGTCGATTCCTCAGACTCCCGGTAAAGACCAGTGTTGGTAGACGACCAACAAGTGAGTGTAGCATTGTGGTCCACTAGGCAGCAGGGAACAGTGAGAGCTCTGGGATGTTTGATTTCAGCCCAGTCTTTTGCTCCTAGACGCCACCCCTTCACCTCATTTTAGCTAACAGACCGATGTACAGTAGCTAGAGCCTGGTACCCCGGGAGGCTCTTCTGCTCTTACGTCATGCCCGTGTCCCATGGCCTTTCCTGGAGTTTCGGAAGAGAATTTGTGCAAAACATGCTAGAGGAGGGCTTCTCACGGCGTGGTCCAAAAACTCGACCTCCCTGGACACCCATTAACTGCAGTCACAAGAAACCCCGGGCTTACAGCTTCAGAGAAAATAAGAGACCGCTTTGCACAGGAACTGGTGATTCATTAGTCAAATGCAAGGCAAAAACACATGCTGATGCAGGATGGGTAAATGTGCATGCTGTCATAAATTTTAACTAAAAACTTTTAGCACTGAATATTATTATTCATCAGTCAAGGCTGTAATACACCTACTACCAACGCCAAGACTATACTCTCTCTTGCATTAAAGTTTATATTATGAATTCAATGATCGACAACACAACAATGCCCCTTACTGGCCACAAACAAGCTTTAACAGGGAAACAGGAAATAATGAGATGTATTTTAATTAGCATATGCATCGCAAACACCTGCCAGTCATTACACCAAGCTCTCCCCAGATCCTACTGGTGAAAACGGAAGCCTTGGGTTTTGAGCGGAGCACCAGAACACACACACACACACCTAGCCTTAATTATCAGTTGTTGGCCGTATCGTGTTCAAACATTAGAGCAGGAACCAAGCTTGCAGTAATGAAAGTCCTGGGGGCTGGGATTCATTTCTGAGCAGTTCAGCCACTCCATTTATAAAATTGCTATTGAATAGCAAAGAATTTACAGGGGGAATATAAACTATAATTACCTTTGGACACACTTGCAACAAAACGCACCTCAGAGGTTGAAACAGATTAGGAATTAATATTAATCATCGTGTTCAGGAATTAATGTGTTTTTATCGCAAAGTGCAACGAGCGTATTTTTCACATACGTGGTGCAAATCCATTTGGGTTAAAGGAACAAGCAGCTTAATCACTGATTTGCTACTGTTATGGACTTTGCTTCTATAATGTAGCAAACATAGGAGAACAATGGGTTTAAAGTTTCACTTTGCGCCTTTAAAGAGGTTTCACAATGTGACCTATAACCATGGGCAGGTTTATATAAGGCACTGCTCCCATCATCACATTTACTGATAATTTTTTTATTCAAATTACTGGCTTTGGATTTGTTGCAATGCTGTCAAAGGAAAGAGGATCATTAGGTCACTCCATATACTAAACCTTCCATGTTTATACTTTGAACTTGTGAAGAAATTACAGTCCAGTTTATAACCTCAGGCAATAAACGGGTTTTATGATACCATTATTATAAACTACTTGAACACCATTCAAAGTTATATTAGGATTACAAACGCCGTCCATAAATAATTGTTTCATTTTCCCAGCCGCAAGATGGACGGAAGAGGTGTCACATGAGTCAACGGCACCTAGAAATTTCCCACGCAGAGCAAGCAAACAGTAGCAAAACAAAATGAAAATGACCATTCAGCAGATTATGGATCATGCATGTTTACATCAGAGAAGAACTGGTTGCGTAGCAACTGGTATGTATCCTTACCTCAAAGAAGTTTGTCGACTCATTGCCGTACTGACTGGAAATGATTTCTGATTGGTCACTGTACCACTTTAGTCCACCCAGGAAATCATCCGCATCCAGGTCGCTGACATCTAATTCTGAGAGATCAAGCTCCGGGAGGTCTGGACAGAGGGGCTGGTCTTCCCCAACCAAGGCCGCACACTGCAAGAGCACAGCACAAAACACAGGCTATAACGGGATGAAGGCTGCACAGCATCTCCACCAGAACATCTCAAAGCCCAGCATCTGTAGGATGTTCTCCCTGCTATGACTTTTTTTTTTTTTTTTTGCATTTTCTTTTGTCTTTACATTTGATGAAGGCTGGTTGGTTCTGGATATTTTTTTTTTTTCTACAACAATAACTCTACAGCTCAAAAGACTCAGTGATGTATTGCACAGTTTAATGCCCCTGCAATTTAGGCAGTGATTTTCCAGGGACATTTTAAATTGATAAGCAGTTCAGGATCTTAGCCATGCTACCAGCAGCCGGTCAGCTCCTTCGACATCGCGGCTCGAGGGCAAGTCAACTTCGGCGTGATCAACTGCCCGTCGGAATCAAAGTGCCGTTTAGCGTTGCACGAGTCTCCATGTCACTGAAGCCCCATTGCAGTTTCATTATTCATTGGCCAAGATGACGTCCGTCTGACTGCCAGCTACTGCACTGCAATCAGGATACAAATCAGGTTCACCAGGTCCACGGAACCGTGACCGGAGAATCTGCAGATTTTTTTTTTTTTTTAATCGTTATCTGGGTCTATATAATTTATAACAAAGGCAGTCCAGCTTTAAAGGCATGACGAGTTCCCGGAAAAAAGCTTTCAACCCCAAAGATTCAGCACACTGACACGCCACTTGATGTTAATTGCAGGGTTGCACAATCATGTCAAACATTGCAAACCGAAATGTGTATTATAACATTCAAAGTAGTGTTTTTTTGTTTTGCAAGCTGGGTTTGATTGTGTGGGCTCAGTAACTGTTCTGTGAAGGTTTACAGTTTGGCAAATGTGTTCAGAGGAAAACGTGACTCTCAGTGTGACCACGACCCCATACTGGATAAGTGACATGGATGGATGGATGGAATTCTCACATAATTCTCTTCTGAGACATAACTTTTTCAATGGTTTGGAATATGATTTATCACATACCACTATAAACTCCTATGTACACATAATTTAACTTCTCCTTGGACAGGGTGCAACACACCAGGTCTCAGAGAGACAAACTAATCTTTCCATTTTGGCCGCAGCTATAGTACAGCAGACTGGGATATTGTTAAAAATGAGTCCATGAAACAAGTGAGCAGAGAGATGTCAGCTCCAGCCGTCATCGTGCTCAGTTGCACTTGATCTAATTGAGCCAAACACCTTTTTTTGCCACTCACAGCTGGTATGAGTCAGATCTAAACTTCAGCTTTATCAGCCAAGCTATGCTATCGGTCGAAGGCTGAAGGCCTTCAAGGAAAGCAACGATACCCCACACCAAATACATATTTCTATTTAAAGTTCACAATGCAAAACGGGGGGGAGGGGGGGCTCAAATCATGTGCTACTGTACATCTGCAATTTAGTCATGCTCTCGTTAACGTACAAGACTTCAGAAGCAAGACACTAAGCACCACTAGCTACAGCAAGAGTTGAATTCTCCACCACCAGATGACAGAACACGTGTGTGTGTGTGTGTGTGTGTGTGTGTCCACAAGAGCTTAATTTCTGTTGTTAATTCCGGGATAGTAATAGAACAGATTGTGGGCTATTGGGTACCACCTCGGACATGCTGCCTGATTTATACACAGCGAACGCGTAAGACACTTAATACTACAGCTATGTGGGGATGATGATGGCGATGGAGCGGAGGAGCAATTCACTGATTGTAACGGCCTTTGGTAATTAAACCGCGTGATTTACGGCCCCCCTGTGGCTTTCACCAAAAAACGTTTTAGCAAAACCATAACAGACCAGAGGCTAGGCGACGAGTGGAGGGTGTTAATGCCCCGGAGCTTTGAGACACTGCCCTGGAAGCGTCAGAACACCAGAAAGCATCGGAAGGCCGGCGCTCACAGCAAATAACTTCTGGCGCATGTGAGATTTCACGCAAGAACCCAGATAATTAATATCTCAGGGAAGCCAACTGAGACGCAGATCTACAGCGGCTTCCTGCAAATACCGTCGGCACTTATTGAAAGATTCGGTGGCAAAACGCCGACAAAACGAGACCAGATGTGATGCTCAGTTTTAACGAAAGGGGGCTGCGCTGATGTCGCTGTCTACATGACATCGTGCAAAAAGGCAAGGAGGAGAAAAGCGTCTTTAATACGAGCGCTAGGGAGAGAGCTGCATCCATGCATGCGTGTCGGGATTGCTGTGCGGCGATCGGCGTGTGTGTGTGTGTGTGTGTGTGTGGGTAAAACATCATGCCAGTGACACACGACGCATCTTATTCACTTATTCTCGCTATTAAAGCGCCGGGTATCTTTTACCAACGTTAACCTTGTAAGAGTAAACACTCACGGGATAAACTGTTGGACATTTTAACTCGACCTCAAGCAAACGTGATGTTACAACTATGGCTTGTTTTTCCAGTAATTAATGTTTATACAGACCCGCACGCTGTACCGCTGCCGCGCAGGCTTGAAGATGCGCTTTAATCATTCGGTTCCGTCGTATCTCAGATGGGTTGCATTACCGTAACTGGATAGTAAATTGCAATAATGATTTTTAACTCTGTTGTTAAGTGTTTCAGTCTATACTTATAGGTTGACAGGGCGTCGTTGCGAAATAAAAGTTGTACTGTACCTGACTTATAAATAATTCTGGCAATCAGCCACTTTCATTGGAAAGACTTAGCGATCGGATATATTTCACGTCAGTCTTAGAACATGTGGACATACTTTCCAATTACAGGGCATCGTACGGAGATAACGAGCAGCCCGGGACCACCAGGTATGCAATAACTACGGAGTTTATCCCTGCACATGAGAAAAACAGACATGTTAACTCCCTCATTCCTACCATTCGCACGCTTTGTGATCCCCCATCCTCCGTGCAACGGGCTGTTTGACAAGCATAAAATACCGTACTACTCTTAACCCATTCTGCAGTCCATCTTTCCAAATCGTCCCAACCCCGGGGGGGGGGGGGAAATGACAGTTTACTAACATTTCATTTATGCTACTTACCTCTAGTTCCCTCCACAAAGAGTCCTGGTTACACCTTTCCCACGCCATCCACGCAATGAATGACGGATTTAAAAAAAAAATCAAGCAAAAAGGAAATCCAGCGGTTTTTCACTTGCTCTCTCTCAGGGAACTGCCCCCTAACTGAGAATGAACTGAAGGCACCTGTCTTACAACTGCCTGCCATCACATGACAAAGCTATTAAAAGTAGGCAGGGGAGTGACTCCTTCCAGCGCCCCCTCCTCACTACTTGAGTGAAGCCAATGACGTCCCGTCAGGCAGGCGGGCTCTGGCACACGCATAGTAAATATTTTCCACGATTAAATCCCCCGATCGTCGGGAGCACGGTGAGATCCATATGCTTTGCGGGTGCGTCCACCGGCACATTTAACTGCTGACGTTTGACGTCAAAGCGGCGCAAGTAGCACCGCGATTCGGGCGTCCGAGGCGGCGGCGCTCGGCAAAGCCAGAGCGGTCTGCGGGCGATCGGGGGGCTGAAATCATCAGGCATAATTTGCGGGGGGAATAACAACAGCAGCTAAGATTTGCAAAGATTACGAATCTGTATGCAAAACATTAAAATCGATTCCTAATAGATCGGCCAACTCCGGGATACATGCAATTTCGCCTCATCCGTTTTAAGCGAATGCGGCGATAGATGTTAAATCCTCGTAAAGCAAATACCGAGAATAAACAGAAACCTGTGCATTTTCCCCTCGTTATCTCAGATACTCCTTTAATTTGTGTAGACGGTAAATCAAACGGCTCCCTTTCGCCCCACACCCGCTAGTCTTTCATCCTCCGGGTGGGTGAAGAGTGTTTCCTCGGTTGTCATTCGGAATGTGTTTCAGGAAGTGCTGACTTGTTTTAATAGAGCATGGGACTGCACTGTTTATATGGAGACCGAAAGCAGAACTGCTGCTCCTTGTGTTATTATTTCTTTTTGTTCTTTATGCTTATCGGCAAATTGAATTCAGTGTCGGCACCACTTTGGACGTGCCAAGCCATTCCCCAGTCTCTCACTCCCCAACATTCCCCCCATTCTCTCTGGTTAATTTGTCGGTTATTTATTCTTGTTACGGATACAAAGTTGACTTCCCTAGGTGTAATTACATTGCTAATGTGTCCCAGAAAAAGAGCAGAAAAGCCGTTTATTCCTAAATTTTGGCTGGATAAATTAAAACTATCGTCTATAAAACATCAGTAGGTTAACAAGCGGGCAGTATCAACACATTGTGTGTACCAAACACACAGAAAACACATCAAACAATAACCAAAGATTAGTGTGGACGCCAGGAACATGCTCTGGTTCAGCTGACATGTAATCATCATGTGGTCAATTAGCCTACCTGTTATAAATAACCCATTGTTTTGTTGCTGGACCTATACAATATGCAAAAATATAATAGGCCGCAGTGGAACAATCATGAAGTACTCCTTCTGTGTGATGTTTTCAGTTGGATGAGCTAGCTGGACGAGAACCTCTCTCCTGGAAGAGAAGCGGCTTAGAACCATCCAACGTCAAGCCCTCAAAACTATTGTGAAGGAAAACCTTTGTAAAATGTGGGATTATGGATTAGCCAAAGCTGCTAATGAGGTACGTGTGCATCAGTCATTGGAGCAGCATGTCCGTGTGCCCTGGTGGTCTGTCTGTGCATTTACAGTAAACACATAGCTGGTGGTTTCTATAATTATTAGTTTTCATACCGTGTATCCTGATGCACGCTATCCAGCTACCAACCTTTGTCAGGGCACGAGCTGCTCAGGTCTTGAATAGATCTGGAGTTTTATTTTAATCTTGTTGGTTCCCGCACGTAACATCACCCTTGACTATGGGCCTGTCTTTGGAACTGTGTGTAATAGCAGAGTAACTGTCTTTCCTCATCAGAGGGGCTCCAAAGTAAACAACAGCCACAAGAACGTGGCGGCAGACATGTGATGAGGATGAACCGGAGGATAACTAAATCAGGGGAACCAAGGGAACACGTCTTGGAAGCATCAGAGATCAGAGGAACACAGACAAAAACAAAGAGGCAAACAACTGAATATGAAAGACATTGACTGGAACACAAGAAAAGGTGAACGACAAAGTGAGTATCATTGTTAATGCTACTAGGTTATGCCGGCCTACAAGCAACCACAGCTGCCTCACTAACTCCAAAGACTTCAAGGATAACAATGAGGTTGTACATGTACAACTTTTGTCAACCTGGACCTGTCTTGGGGCAGTCGCCCCCTGCTGGTTGGGGGGAGAACCGTAACATATGTACATCATATTTGGACAGCAGGATTTCTATGCATGTTTTGCTTCTTACCTTGCACAGAACATGGACGTTCTTTGATTTTAATGTTTCTTCTAAGTAGCTTCATGTCAAGGGACTGGGATCAACCTGACTTTTCTCTCTTATTAATGTCGACCGGAAAGAGCTAATTTTATTGTCAGTTCCATCCAAATGTAGCTGCTGAAAGCATATTAAGACAGAACCCCATGTTATACTCTTCTGCTTTTATTGGTTTAAATAGACTATTGTGTGCTTGCCATATATCGTAATGGCCCTGATGGCACAGCTAAACACACGGCCTGCAGAGGAAATAAAGTTCGACACTCTATTATGTTATATCAACACCGACTTAATGCAAAACCATTTCGAAAAAATGACATTCTGTTTAAAGAACTTATCAAGTTAATGTTGTTGCCTCGACATAATAATTAGCATAATAACTTGAAGTCCACCAGCGGAGAGTAATTTCAGTGGACAAACAGAATGAGTTGCCTTTTGAAATCGCGTGGCAGTATTTCATAATGTTATCCTGTCAACTGACCGACAATGAAAATTGCAGGGACTGCACGAAGAGCACAGGGACAGAGGCTTTTCTGTGTTGGTTGTACCCCCCCCCCCCAAAAAAAAAAAAAAGCAATGCCCTGTACACAAACTTCAAACCATATAGTTTATGTTTATGTTAGGGTTTGTCGTGATATAATCATGGGTTATGTGGTCAGAGCTGTCAACATTTAGGCAAGGAAAATTATGTTTAGATGATTTTCTGGTTATTATACAACTATGATTTTAATGTCTGTCAAAATGTCAGCTTGGCCATTTGAAAGCCTCTCCTCATGTTAGCCCAGTATTCGCAGCAACCGTGAGATACAACCGCATATTTTTTGCCTTGACAAATACAGCACACCTTGTTTGGCTAATCGATACCTCGTTGAGTTATTTAACTAATTAGGTAAACTAGATAAGTGAAATGTTGGCATTTAATGAATGCATGGAAAGGCTGTGGTGCCCCCGGGGGGGGTTTGGGAACCGAATAAGATATCCGATAAGATATCTGTAACTTTTTGGAGAACAGAAGAAAATCTTGGTTTTTTTTTTGTTTGTTAATTTTTGTGGTGCTATTAATTTGCATATGGTCTAATGTTAAATTGTGTTTTTTTTCTGAGCAAATGCACGCTTAGAACCCAGTTAAATAGCTGTAAACATTTTCTTAGACTTTTGCACAGTACTGTTCATCATGACTGGAGAGAGCATTCCTCCATCCATACTTCAGTATTCGTGGAGGATCAAGACCAAGCCGGACCCTCATAATTTAATGATGGCACGCCTCTGCTTGAGGTACGGTGTCCACTTGCTGGTGTTCTCGAAAAAGCTGACTGGAAGAACACCAGGCGCCCTCACGTGAGCTAAATCAAGAAGGACTTTGTGTAGGGGTCAGAGCTAAAATGACTGAGCACATGCCCTGTGTCGGCTTTGGAACGGCTCATGTCCAAGCTAGGGAGACCATTTACACTCTCTTCATGCTTCTCATAGAGAAGCCACATGTATGATATCAGGTCTCCAGATAGACAGCGACCATCTTTCCAGCACTGACTGTCCCTATAAAAAAAACAAAGCACACGGTGAACCTTCCGGAACCTGAGAGCTGTCAGAAGCTGCCTGTCACTGCACCCTACTCCTTTTGAGTCTGATAAACCACTAACTTGATTCTGACATTCTTGACATCGGCGGGTTGTAACAGCGCCCGGTTTCCCCAGTAACAGCGCGGGGACATCACTGGTAGGCCAGACAGTGCTGGGGTGGGGAAAAGAGGCTGGGGGTGGATTTTTAAAAGTACAAAAGTGTACGGAGAACTTCGCCGGCACCTGAACGGAAGCGGGACGCTCCTCGCCCGTCTCCAGCCGTCTGCATGAGCCGCCACCGCGGACGGCGGATGCTGTTTGAGGAGGAGGAACATGAAAAAGACCAGACAATTAAGAGGAAGGAACGGGAGCGATAACTCGGCAGGGAGGCGTAAAAATAAATAAATAAACAAATGCCGAGCTGCGTGCATATAATTGTGGGCTTTTTTTTTTTAACGAAATTGACACTAAGTCTACTTATACGAGCTACTTATACAGCCTCAATGGTATCCGCCAGGGAAGAATTAGGTCAATTGCAGTATACTGTGTACCTTCAGGAGCTCCATACCAGCAAAACCACAAGCAGCTACACACCCACGATATCCCCCCCCCCCCCCAAGAATGACGGCCCACTGGCCCTTTGTGACAAGCTGACAACTTTCCTATTATTTTGAAGAATTTAAAAAAAAAAAAAAAACACCTTAATTGCAGATTGCTGTTTGTTTTTCCCTGGGTCTGCGTAAGACGCAGCCACGATGAATGAGCATCACGCTCGTGGGAACCTTTGCATCATCAGTTTGTTTGTCTTTTTCTTTTTCCCTTTTTGTAGCCTGCAGATAGACTTTCTTTTCATCACCCTAAAACGAGCATGTACCACTGGGCACAGGGGGGGGGGGGGGGGGGGGGGGGGAGGCGGTAACCCCCAGTATTGAATTTGGTTTCATTGCCCCCCCCCCAAATAAATACACCTTTGCATTTAAATTACGAAGCTGTGTCCCTCNTAGGAGGACAAGAAGCTCCAGCCAGCGAGAGAGAAGCAGGCAGACAGAGAGCAGGGGGGGTTTAAAAATACTTTTTTAGTCAATCAATGGATGACCTTCCATGACTGAGTATCATTGTCAAAAGGCACCAAAATAGACCCAAAGTCATGCTCCGCGACATATAAATGGAAACTATTTCTAGGCATTACGGATTTCAGATCGATGCGCCACGCTGGTCGCGAAACTCGGTAAAAACAATCTGCCCCGACTGCTTAGGTCCGGACTGGCAAACTTCATTCTTGGAATCGTGTGGATACACTTTTTTTTTTCCCTCTCCATCCACCCCCTTCGATTACCTAATTTGATCCATCGTTTTAATACTTTTGCCATTAAAGGATTAAATTCCTCCCTAAGATTGTTGCTATTTCATTGTGTATTAAGGCATACAATTTTTAATGGAAAAGTTTTCAGGGGAAATGTGCGCAAATATATACATACTGTATGTACAGTATATACTCATGTAAACTGCAAGAATAATGAAAACCATAATGACTTATTAAGATATGCATTGGAATAAAAACTACCCACAGACATGGAGTGCACATACACACACACACACACACACACACACACACAAACACACACACAAACACACACACGCACATCCAGAAGAAGTCCATTTGATTTCCATAACTAGAATTCTTGTTTTCATGGCTTTTTTTGAGAATCTCAACTGTTATGCACAGAGAGCAGGCTTGCATGTCCATCTCTGGCCCGCCCCTTTAAATATTTGCTGGGGGGGTGGTTATCGCTTGGTATTCTCCATTCTCCCTGAATAAACTGGAGATGACAGACTACTTTAATGACCCCATATAATGCTAGGTGACAGCAGGCTAGTCCACCACGGGACCGATTCTGCCCTCCGTCACCTTACAAGCACCCCAGCTGTGATGATCGCCACTAGGAAGGTAATTTAGGTACAAGGAACCAACCTTGGCTTCTTCCTCGGACTCCCAGCTGCAAGCTCCACATCCTGCGTAACCTCGATTGGCATTCGAATGCTGATTTGAGGAGATGTTTTATTAAATGGAGGATAGAGAGGTATTAATCAGTGGGAAGCGGTATTTTGGTTCCGTTCCCTTTGCTGCAGTAAATTCAGCTGAAGGATTACAGAATGGATGTTTACCTAATAATAATGCTTTAATTATTATTTGCTTAACAGATACAAATATGTAAGGACTATGAATTTGCACACATATTATGCGTATCAGGATAATAACTGAAGCCAGTAAAACTAAGTTCTGTTCCAAATGATTAATTATGTGCCCCCCCCCCCAGCACACTGAAACAACTGGGATCCCCCTTGTCCCAGCCAAAGGGAATAACCTGGTATTATCCCGTCAGGAGGACATGGATATGTGTCACTCGTCCTCTGTAAAACTGTGATACAGTACATTACTACTGGCTTGATATCAGCCACACATCTGTCAGCACGGACCAGATTTGATCATATTGGATACTCTGGCACCAAATACTGAAAATCACCAACTAGTATATACTGCCTTTAGTGGAATGTTGAATAGGAAGAGCAGCTGGCTGGAGGGAGGGATGGATGGACGGATGGACGGATGGATATTATCAGTGCTGTACTGACAAATCAATCTAATCACAGATGGACGCTAAACCCACGATGCGGTTCAGCCCGGACATTCCCCGAGAGTGACCCCTGACCCGTGGCAGCGGACACAGGTGGTACAGTGAGCCATGGCTCCTATAAAGCAGGGGGCATAATTCCCAAAAGTGCAGCAAGTTTGAGTTACCAGCATCTTCTTCGGTATGTTAGTCAGAGGTGGAGAGTTCAGGTCCAGAAAGTACAAGTCCAGACCAAGATTTTGTTTCAACCTATGCTCAACTGGTTGGTTGAAAAAAACTCTTGGTCTGGATTTGTACTTTCTGGACCTGAACTGCAGAAGTTAATAATAATAATAATAATAATAATAATAATAATAATAATAATAATAAATAAGACAAAGAAGAAGAATATAATTAGAATAATGATAATAAAAGGATAAGGTGTAAACAGGAGACACCACATACCAAGGCTTGTCCAGGGCTTCCTGCTAAAGTCTGTCACGTGGGGACACAAACTGGGTCACCAGGCTTTCAGACCACCTGCTGTGGGACTCACGCATTTGCCTGTATTACTCTCTCCTTCCTGTCCCCCCCCCCCTTTCATTTTATCATCTGACATGTGAGGAAAAAATCCTGCAGGAGCCCACATGCAGCCATTGTGGGTGTCAAGCTGACTGACACGATGGTAACATAACATTCTGGGTAAACAGAAATATTTATGTCAATTACTATGACGAAAAAATCTACTGATAATGAAGACGGCTTACGGGAAGTTTGCAATGTTTCCATAGACTTACAAAGAGTCACATTTTCCATGAACTTGATTGCAATACAACACCGGCTGCCTAATATGGCTTTAGGGCTTGTTTTTGAGTAACATGACACTTTTACACAAGCGTATTTTGAGGTAAGGTGTTTCTTGCTGAACTGTGTTATTTTTAAAGAGATTTGGTTATCTTCCGAAATATCTTTCATGCTATTGCAAGATTCTTTGAAATCAGCTCTTCTCCCAAACGAATCCATGTGACAGCACCTCGTCACCCACGGATCTCCTTTCACGGCGCTTTCTGTGAGTCCGTCGCTTATCCGCGATTCACATCATCAC